AAGGAGGAGGAGAAAGAGGAGAGAGAGAGAGAGAGAAAGAGAAAGAGAGAGAGAGACATCGAATTTATGGTTCCACTTATTTATGCATTCATTGGTTGCTTCCTATATGTACCCTGACCAGGGATCAATCTGCAACCTTGGCATATTGGGACGACACGCTAACCAACTGAGCTATGCAGTCAGGGCTCTGGTATTGGTTTTTATTTCCTTAGTAGATATTTCACTTGAGTCTGCTAAGACTTTCTTTTTTTTTAAATAAATCTTTATTGTTCAGATTATTACAGTTGTTCCTCTTTTTTCCCCCCATAGCTCCCCTCCACCCAGTTTCCATGCTAAGACTTTCTTAAGGTAATGTCTGCAGTTCTGTGTTGTTGCTTTGCCAACTGGCTGGTCATCTTCCCTTACCTTTGGGATAGGTATTCCAACAATTTTGCAGGTGAATGTGACTGGAGAGCCTTCTGTGACTCGAAAGTGCTTGAGTCTTTTGTCAAAGATGGGAGCAATACACTTGCCCGTGGGGATCTCATCATGTTGGATTTCATCATCAGACTCATCCACAGGGGTACGTTCCAAGCGAAATTCTATTTCATTCATCAGTCTCTGCTCAAAGCTTGAAATTTTGTACTCCTGTCAAAATGGCAAACATGCTTCAATTTCAATTTCTATGGGTGAGGTAGAAGGTGTCATTATAATTTGAAGGAGCAGCGTTTTAAGGTTCAGATGTTAGATTTATATCATGGAACCCCAATAAACCAGGCATGTACCATTCCCAGTTCCTCACCATGAGCACTAAAGGAGATTTCAGTATCTCTACTATAATCCCAAACTGCCTTAGTGAATCCCGATTCCTCACCTTGAGCATGGAGCCCCAGTAGAATCCTGTAGGGAATGGAATGAAGATGGAATGTAATTTCCACAACTACTATTAATGTCCATTTCAATATGTAGAGCTGCCTATCTGGTATTTTGGCTAAGCTTTTCTGAATTGCATTCTGATGCATGTCTGCATTACCAATGTCCTGATTCTACTGGACACTCCCATCTGCGTAGTTGAGGAAAATCTGTCTCGAATAAATCTTCCTTGACTTCACATAGGTCTTCATTGCATCTCTCTGCTCCCTTAACAACAAAACTACTTGAAACAATTTTGTATTGTTACAGGATAATTTCCATACCATTTAGTCTCTTGTTAACCTACTCCAGTAAGGATTGTGTTCTCACTGTTCCACTGAAATTACTATTGTTAGGGTCTCCAAATTTGTCAAATCCAGTTGTCACTTATCTATTCTTACCTTACCAGACCTCTTAGCAGCATTAGATACAGATGGCTACTTACTCCTTTTTGAAACATTTTCTTCTGTTGGTTTTAATGACACCATACTGGTTTTCCTTCTCTTTCTCTGGCTGCTCCTTATCAGTCTTCTTTTCTAGCTCCTAATCCTAGATAGGTGACCTCATCCAATCCCATAGCTTCAGATACCTTCTGAATGCTGATAGCTCCAAGTCTTATCTCCAAGCCTGGTCTTTCCCCAGAACTCATATACCTAATGATCTACTCTGTATCATGAGAGTATTATACCCAACAATTTACTCTACATCATGGCTTGGGTGCCCAATGGGCATCTCTAACTGAGCATGGTCCAAAACAGGCCCACTTGCTTTCCATCCCCCAAGAGACGCTCCTGCCCTGCTCTTTCTCATCTCAGGAAATATCATCTTGATTCATCCACTTGGTTAAGTGGTTAAGCCAGAGTTTCCCCACATTGTCTTTTCCCCACATTTCTAAAAATGTCCAACCTGTACTTTTGTAAAAATGAATTACTAGAAAAATGAAAATTTAAAAGCATTCAAAATTATTATGTTTAATAGACATAAAATTTCTCTGTCAAGTTACTATCAAAATTTCTTAATGGTTACTCTCAATTTCTGTACTTATCCCAAGGTGGAGAGGGGACAGCTTGCAGATTGCCGCAGGTTCTCAGATCACCCTTTGAGTACCCACTTAAACCGTAAATCTAGTACTTATCCTGAATTCCTTTCACTCACTCTCCCTGTCATATCCTATCAAGCTTAAATGTCAACTCCCTAAAGCAGTCTTCCCAGGCCACTTCATCTAAAGCAGCGGTTCTCAACCTGTGGGTCGAGACCCCTTTGGGGGTCAAACGACCCTTTCACAGGGGTCGCCTAAGACCATCGGAAAACACATATATAATTACATATTGTTTTTGTGATTAATCACTATGCTTTAGTGTTCAATTTGTAACAATGAAAATACATCCTGCATATCAGATATTTACATTACGATTCATAACAGTAGCAAAATTACAGTTATGAAGTAGCAATGAAAATACTTTTATGGTTGGGGGTCACCACAACATGAGGAACTGTATTAAAGGGTCGCGGCATTAGGAAGGTTGAGAACCACTGATCTAAAGTAACTCGCCAGCCTGGCCAGTGTGGCTCAGTGGTTGAGCATTGACCCATGAACCAGGAGGTCACTGGTTCAATTCCCAGGTGATGCCCAGTGGAGGTGTGCAGGAGACAGCTGATGGATGTTTCTATCTCTTTCTTCCTCTCCCTTCCTCTCTATCTAAAAGTCAGTGAAAACATATTTTAAAAAATAAAGTAACTCTGCACTCTAATTTCCTGTCTAATACCAGTTGCTATCTAGTATTTTTCTTGTTTGCTTGTTTCTTGATTGAAAGATTAAATATCTCTAAGCACTGGAATGTTACTTTCATAAGAGCAGAGATCTTGTTTATCTTGCTTCCCACTAGATTAACAGCACCTAAATAGTGAATGCCTGCCTCATGGCAAGTACTCAGTGAGTATCTGAAGAATGAGTGAATACATGAATGACATGGGGGCAAGCATGTGTTCCAACTCTACCACATCTTTGAGGAATCCGGAATTTGTTTTGATGATTTTTATCAAGATGGGGCCTGATTTTACAGAATTTAAGATGTTTGAATTGATTTAACACAAGGGACTACAGAAGCAATATGATGAAAATATGCATATTTTGTTATACTGTAAATGTATACATACTGGTTAAATATTTATTGTTTTACCAATACTACAAATTGGGAGGATGATGAGAATAGAACACTCAGTGAATTATTTTTAAAATATTAAAAGAATTGAGAGCCCAGAAATAAACCCACATGTATATGGGCAAATACTTTGTGCTAAAGGAGCCAAAAATATACAATGGAGAAAAGAAGCCTCTTCAATAAATGACGCTGGGAAAATTGGAAAGCCATATGCAAAAGAATAAAATCAGACTGCTATTTGTCACCATACATAAAAATTAACTCAAAATGGATCAATAACCTAAATATTAGACCTGAAATAATAAATTACATAGAAGAAAACATAGGTACTAAACTAATGGACCTTGGTTTTAGAGAGTGTCTTATTAATTTGACCTCAAAGGCAAAGGAAGTAAAAGCAAAAATAAGTAAGTGGGACTATATTAGACTAAAAAGCTTCCACACAGCAAAAGAAACCAACAACAAAACAAAAAGGCAATCAACAAAATGGCAGAAGATATTTGTAGACAACACCTCTGATAAAGGGTTAATATCCAAAATATATAAATAGCTCATATAGCTCAATAACAAAAAACAAACAATCCAATTAAATATTGGGCAGAGGACCTGTATGGACACTTCTCCCAAGAAGACATACAAATGGCCCACAGATATGAGAAAATGCTCTTCACTAGCTATTAGGGAAATGCAAATCCAACTACAATAAGATGCCATCCCACACCTGTTAGAATGGCTATTATCAACAAGATAAGTAATAATAACTGTTTGAGAGGTTGTGGAGAAAAAGGAACCCTCATTCACTGCTGGTGGGAATGTAAACTGGTACAGCCACTATGGAAAACAGTATAGACATTTCTCAAAAAATTAAGGATAGAGTTATCATATGACCCAGCAATCCCTCTTCTGGGTATCTATCTGAAAAATTTGAAAACATTTGTTCACATGTTCATATAACATTATTCACAGTGACCAAGACATGGAAACAACTGAAGTGTCTTTCAATAGAGGATTGGACAAAGATGTGGTACATACATATATACAACGGAATTCTACTCAGCTATAAGAAAAGATGGGACCCTGCCATTTGTGACAACATGGGTGGATCTTGAGAATATCGTGTTAAGCGAAATAAGTCAGAAGGAAAAAGTCAATAACCATAGGATTTTACTCATATGTGGGAATTAATACTGAAAGCAACAAATGAACAAAAAGGTAAACAAACAAACAAAAACTCCTAGATGCAGACAACAGTGGTAACCAGAGGGAAGGGCGGTTGGGGGTGAGGTAGGAAAGGGTATAGGGGGTCAAATATATGGTGACAGAAGAAGACTTGACTTTGGGTGGTGAACACACAATACAATATACACATGTTGTATTATAGAACTGCACATTTGAAACTATATAATTTTGTTAACCAATGTCACCCCAATAAATTTAATTAAAATACTATTTGTAACTATGGAGCATATAGTTGTAAGCAGATTTTAGCTGGAAGTTTCTACTGGGGCACCAAGATGGGCTACATATCAGAAAACAAGTGAGTTGGGAGACAAACTATTTTCCAGAAATTTCAAAGCTGGTGTTTAAGGATAGGTTGGATGATTTAAAGCCTTCACTTCCATTAGAGATATAAGAGTCAGGAGGGAGAAGATCCAGTGAGAGGACTTTGGAGAGAGTTATTAATGTCTGTGAGTGTCCTACCTCCACCTCCAGCCCCTGGGTACCTCCCTTTCACCTGAAGTCTAGCCAGGTCTCGCTCCTGCCTAAGAAATCTGGAGTGAAGAGTGAGGTGGACTTTTGTTGGTGGCCAAGCTCAAGGCAGCTTTGAGTGGCCTGCACTCCTGCATTGTTCCAGGGCAGAGGACTGTGATGGCTCTCCTTATGCACACGTGGGTCACACACGACACAAAGCCAGTGTGGGGTCAGCTTTTGTTCCTCCATGGTTGGGAAAGGAAGGAGTCAGAAATAGTGGTTGGTGAAGTGGGGTAAGAGGGGGCAAAAAAGAGAAAAGCTGGCCATGGTTCCCTTCCTGGCTATTTAGGTTCGTATCTTGCAGAAGTCCCTGGTGAAACAGGGGGTTTGTGTGTGGGTGTTAGTTTTCATTAAGAATTGGAGTGTTGGTTACTACCAGGACTGGAAATTTTGTATGACTGGATCAAGATTGTATTTTTGCAACACAGTAACCAGAGAATCTTATAATAATGAAAAGTGGTCACAATGGTTTTGAGATAGCTTCACATTTGAGATTGCCAGGAGCAGAAGAATTAGCCCATTAGATGAATTTATAGGGATATGGAGAGAAAAAAAATTCTTTTTAGACATACCTGCTTAATGTACCACTTATATGATATAATGTATAAATTGCAGAGGAGTAACAAACAAAATCAGAATATTGTAGGTCAAAGAGTTTCCATGAAAGATTTCATAAAATATTTGGGAAGTTGATTCTCAGGAGCAAGGGAAGCCGCGCAATGGTGTGGCTTGTTACTAAAGCACTGAATCTTTATATCTGAGGTGTTAACAGAGATGCACACTATCTCCAAAGCAGGAATTGACATTTTCCGTGGTGCTTAG